AACTGATTGGCTAATTGTTGGTAGTGAGAATAATAATCCGGTAATTTTTCCTTATCTAATTTAGTATCAATATCCGCTCAACCCAGTAAGTCTAATTTAACTACTGCCTTCTCCGCCAAACCATCGGCTACGTCGTTTATTATTTTTTGGCTGTTTTGATACTTGGTTTGTTGAATTAATCCCTTAATTCTTGTTATTTCTTCATTTAGATTTTCGCTATTTTGAGAGAGAGAGAGAGAGAGAGAGAGAGCCTCTTCAATATAACTTAATAACTGCCAAGTCTGTTTTGTCTCCTCAATATCATTATCTAACTGCTGACAATAAAAAATATCTCGTCGTTGTTGGGGAGTAATTAAATTATCTTGTCATTTTCCATTTATGGAACCGTAAATAGCCTGTTCGCTAACGGCTATTTTATGAATATTGTCAATGGCTTTTTCGGCTGGTTCGTCATCCGTTATCAAAAAAGCAACAAATTCCTCAATTCGCTGCTCGGTGGTCATTTCCTCGTGTTGGGGTTGCGGAGCACCAATTATCTCGTTTATTTTTGCGTCCCACTCGGGATATTCGGCTTTGTTTTTCTCTATTTCTTTAACGAGGCTTTGGCAATGTTGAGAATAATAATTCGCTCGGGTTTTTTTTCAAATCGCAGTGTCAAATTCTCCTCCTTGTTCGGTTTGGTAAAAGATTTTTACTTGGTTTTCGGCATTTTCTTCGTCATTAATCCGCTTAAATATCAGGTTATCGGTCGGTTGGTAGTTATTTAAGTTTAAATCTTCTACCAATTCAACCACCTCTTCTTGTCCTTTTATCCAAGTCGTTTGCGGTTTCTTTTCCAAGTTAATTAAATAATCTTCCCATAATTTTCGTTCGCTCTCGTTCGGAAAATACTCTTTTAATTTCCAATTTTTAAAGACTGATCATTGTTCGTTTTTTAATTCAGAAATAGCCGCAACTTGCTCCTCGGTGGGAGTTTCGCCACTTTCGGCAATATCGCTCAATATACCTATTAACAATGTATAATAAGCCCTTCCATGTCTTCTATAACTTTTTGCGTTTTGTCCTTTTTTAACGAGAGCCACTAAATTATTTTCGGAAAACCAGAACGAACGACCATCGGCCATTTTCAGCGTATAATTGTCAAAAACTTCCAGGATGAAGAGATTGCTATCTTTATCGCCTCGCAAACTTCAATTGTGGGCTTGCTCTGATTTAGCGGCCACGGGGGCTAATTCGATTTGGATTTCGCTATCAACCGCGAGCAGACGGTCGGGTTGTATTTTTTCTACTTCTTTACTACTGCCGAATCAGTTTGTCTGGGTGTCATCCACAAAATTCGGAATTTCCGCTCGCACATTGTCCGGATTTCGACCTCGGTCATTGCCGTCTCACCAAGTGCGAAAACGGAGAACCAGAGTGTCAATTATCAAGGTTCGTTCGCCATCTAGGCTTTTAATTTCAACTGGTTCAATAGTGTAGCACGCATTGTCTCAATTTCCTCGCATTCATTTGATTTTATTGCCCCGACCACCAATCTTGATAATTCTCAGGGGCAAAGAGAGGTTCAGACGAGCCATCATTTTTTCTTCGTGGGCAACTGGCTGTCCTGCCATGTCTTTTTCTCCCGTAAAAACATCCAAAATGATTTCAATTTCTTGCAGCGAATTAGAACCACTACTCGAATGTTGCTCGTTAGTTTGCTCTTTGTCATTATTATTTTCGTTTGTCTCTGACGAATCATTTTCTCTTTCTTGCGGTTGGGAATTAACTTCGGCCACTTCTACTTGAATATCCATGTCTGCCAAATTTTCCACGCCTTCAAATTCGGCTAAATCATACTCTCTTGGTCCATAAATCACCTTTACTTCACCGGCAATAGTGGCTTGGAGAAATTTGAATGCTTCGGGGCTGGCTGGGCGGCCGTCCCGGTCTAATAATAGCCTTTTCTCAATAATGTCAGCAATAAATACTCACCCACCTCAATCACCTGGTCTAATTATATCAGCAGTGGTTAGGTCTTTAACTTTCTTTTCACCATTTTTAGAATAAGTAACATAACCAAAAGTATTCTTACCTTTTTTAACCTTCGTTATTTTCTTTTCCCCATCAAAAATATTTTGGAAATCTTGGAGAATATTCTGTGAAATAAATTGGCAGTCATTTTTATCAGTATCGGTGTCAGGATTAACATAACAGAATAATTTACCATCTTTTAATATTTTCTGTAAAATTCCTGGTCTTAACCTTTTTCCATTTGCCCCCCCTCATTCCTCATTAATCGCAATCTTATCCCAATATTTTTGATTTATATTCGCTAACGACTTGCTTAATGGAGGGGTGCGGTCAACTACTTGAATAGTGTTTTTGCCTTCTTCTTTTACCTTTTTTATAATTTCAGTGGTTAATTTTATTTTCCTTGTCATTTTCTGTGTGTGTGTGTGTGAATCATATTTATTAATTTATTATATTAAGTTTATTATTATGAATATTTACCATACCAAATGACTAATTTTTTAAAATAAATCTAGTTGGTTTTTGCCACTTTCTTTTCAATTCAATTATTTTATTTTCTTATCCTTCGTATAATTGAAAAGAGAAATCTGTGATTGCTGCTTAAAATATCCACGTTTATTATCTTTATTTAATCTTTTAATCTGATAAATATTCTTATCCATTTTTGTCTCTTTCATCTACTTTATCTCCTTTATTATTATTTTACTATTTTTTTGACTTATCCTCGGAATCTTTTTTCTTGGCTCAACTTTGTCGAGTGCGGTCAATGTCCTCTTGGCTGCAAATTACTTCCACGGCGGTTAAAGGTCCTTTTTTCCACTTTTGTGTTTCGCAGACAAAGAAAACCAGTTTTTTCTCCAATTGCTTTTTTTAAAGTTCTATTTTTTCTTGTCTGATTAAATTGGGGTTTTCTTGCCTGATTAAATTTTAGAGTTTTGTATGTTGTATTTTAAAGATTTTTTAAATTCGTATTTAGATAATAAATTCTTTTTCATGTAATCACTTAATTTTTGGCATTCTTCTTTACTTTTAGGAATTCAAAGAGTTATCTCCTTTATTCTTTCCCCTATTGTTGGAATTGTCCCTTGGGTGAAAATTAATTTTTTTATTTGTTCTGTGACGTAGTT